GCATTGTCGAAAATATTTTAGTTGGCTAGAGAATGTCCGAATATGCCCTCCATTAAATTTTCAAAGTGATCCGTTGTCTGGTTCACCAGAAACGTCTAATGTGCCATCCACCGTGAATCAGCCTGTATGTGTATTCATGTAAAGGTGTGCCACCCAAGTTCTTTGCTAAAATTGAATAACTTACCGACAAATCTGTCAAAGAGTAGTCTTTAAGAAATCATAAATAAGCCATCTTTCTGAAAATTGTATATTGTGTTTGAAATTTACAGGAAGGTCAAATTTTGAGGTGATTTTTGGTGACTATCATTTAATATTTTTTTCAATATTCTACATGAAGGATTGGGCTGGGATAAAAATGAATTATTTCAATATTAAAAATTTTGGGATATAGAAACAAATACGAAAAAGCAATAGTGGTATTTCACCTTGAAAGTTTTTGTTTGGTTCACTATTAACAATTAGTATCAATGCAATCTTGAAAACAAATGTTTTGTATTTTCGAATTTTGAACTGAAATTGATTATTTTTTGGTTTTCTGTATTTTTATAAATATACCTAGTGTTCGTGAAGTTTGAACTTATGGGCAAGTGAACATATGTATATTGCTAAAGGCAAAGAAAATGCTTTAATATTTTTCGATATCTACAATATAAAACTAATATTATGAATATCTATAGTAATTGCTGTAAAATCGCAATTATTAAAATTATTATGCAGGAACCAACCTACTTCAAATATTTACATGGTTAACCATAGTCAAGACTTAGTAATGCATAGAACTGTTTGTGATATGAGAAACTTGCAATTGTTTCCAAATCCACTACTCTCTTTACATTGCATCCTTCACGAGTATTTCTTAGATTTCCTCAGAGCTTTTTAAGGTACTTTTTGTATTGGTTCCATACACTTGACGTCCTTGCATTTTTGAAGAGTTTTTTCATTGTTGCCTTCTCTGATAACAAGGCAAAGGCTTTTTGGAATTTGGTAAATATCAAGACTAACCACGTAAAAAGTAAAAAACAGGAAATGACATTAAATGTAGATGATGAAATATTAGCAGATAAAACACAGGTAGCAAATATTTTTGGGAAATACTTTGCAAATTCTGTCAGAGAGAAGCTAGA